GGAGACTTTCCTATTTGCTTATGTAGCTGTAACTCCAGCCTTCTCCAAGGGCTGGGGTGTAGCACGGTGAGCAGGCCTTGGGTTTAATCCCCAGTACTGAAAAAAAAAAAAATGCTTTGTTCTTTCTCATAAATTTGAGTTACTGTATACTGGCATTTCTTTGCAGAGAACAGAAGGATTTCTTTTAGTGATTCTTGCAAGGCTGGTTGGCTAACTACAAATACTGGTAATCACTATTTGTTTCAGACTGTGACTTTACAAGTGTACAGGTTGGTGGATTTTCTTTTCTTTTCTTTTTTTTTTTTTTCGGAACCAGGGATTGAACTCAGGCCTTGTGCTTGCCAGGGAAGCGCTTATTCCACTGAACCATCTCCCCGGCAAAGAAGACTTTTTTTTTTTTTTTTTTTTTTTTTGCAGTACCAGGGATTGAACTCAGGACCTTGTGCTTACCAGGCAAGTGCTTATTCCACTGAGCTATCTCCCTGGTTTAGGTTGGTGGATTTTCCTTAATTTTTATTTAATTTTTCGTGGCACCAGGGATTGAACTCAGGGTGTTGCGCTTACCAGGCAAGCAGTTATTCCACTGAGCTATCTCTCCCTTAATTTTTATTTTGAAAAGTACATATTTGCAGTGCATAATGATAATATTGTTCATGAAGAACGTCCTAACTTTCAATGTACCACTCCTTCCTCCTGCCTCCAGAACGTTATTATTTTACCATTGTTTTTTTGGAGAGTACCACTGCTGGCTACAGAATGCTTGCTTGGTGGATTCTTTTTTTCTTTCAGCATTTTGAATATGCCATCCTTCTGCCTTATTTCTGCCACTGTTTGTTTGTTTTTGTATTTTAGGGGGAAGGGTCTCCAGGGTGCTCAGGGTCTCACTACTAGATCAGACTCGTAGTAATCTGCCTGTTTACAGCCTCCCAAGAGCTGGGATTACAGGCATGTGCCACCACGCACAGTCTAAACATCACTTTCTTTTTCTTTTCTTTCTTTCTTTTATTATTATTATTTTTTTGTATTTTAGGGAAGGGTCTCCAGGGTGCTCAGGGTCTCACTACTAGACCAGACTCATAGTGATCTGCCTGTTTACAGCCTCCCAAGAGCTGGGATTATAGGCATGTGCCACCAAGCCCATTCTCAATTGACCTTCTCAGGGCACCCTGGGGTGGGGCCAGCACAGCTCTGCCGCTGTTTCTGATGATAAGTGAGCTTTTTTTTTTTTTTTTGATAAATGAGCATTGATCACATAAATTGTGCTTCCCTTACTCACGGTAAGATAACATTCTCTGTTTTCATATTTTTATCTTTTGAATAGGGTGTATTTACTTTTCTTCTTTTGCTCTGCTCTTTTGAATTCTAGTTATACTTGATGGTACCACACAGGTCTTGTCTATTTTTGATCTTGTCTATTTTCTTTCACTTAATTGCGTTTGGTTTTACCGTTCTTTTTCTTTCTTTTTTTTGAGATAATTTCATTATGTACTTCAGGCTGGTCTGGAACTCACTGTGGAGCTCAGGCTAGCCTTCAATTTATGATGATCTTCCTGCCTCAGCCTCCCTAATGCTGGCTTCTAGGTGTGTACCACCATACTCAGCCATAACTTCTTGAGATGAGTATTTACCTCACTATTTTTTAAAAAGAAAGCTGGAAAAGTTTCATTATGATTTTCTCTAAGAATACTTTTCTATTCACCATGTAATAGAAATGCCAGAAACTGACAAGGAACATGTGACTGATTACAATATCTTCTTAGATACGGGGGTTATTTAGAAGGTTTCCTTTTTCCTTTTGTTTAATCCAATTCCTTTGCACTAAACTACATCTCCAGCCCCCTACTTTTAATTTCTTTAATTACAATTTTGAGACAAGGCCTCACTAAGTCCCTGGGTTGCCCAGGCGTGGCTTGAACCTGTGATCCACCTGTCTCGGCCTCCTGAGGGCTGGCATGTGTGTATGCACCCCTGTACTTGGCTAGAAGACTGTTTCTTTATTTCCAAATTTGGGAGGATTTGTTACTTTTTAAATGTTTTTTAGCATAATCCCATCGCGGTCACAGAACATGCATCAGTGACTACAATCTCAAAATACGTTGAGTGTTGCTCTTGACTCCACAGATGGTTATTTTGGGTAACTATCCCATGCCTTCCAGACATGTTTTGTTGCTGACTGGTATCTGCTGTGTGCGCGTGTGTACGCACCTTCCTTCATTCCTACTTGGTCAGGGTTGCGATTGATTAAGAACTTCTGTGTCTGAGTTTTTGTTCGCCCATATTAATTAGTAGAAGTAGTAGTCTCCCACCATAATTTGTATTTTCTATTTGTCCTTATAGTTCTGTTAATGCTTGTTTTGTATATTTTAAGATCATGTCATTATGTGCAGCAGAACATAAACTTATTAGTTCTTGGTAAATTGAATTATTTGTCATTGCAAAGTTCCCATTTTTATCTTTTGTAATGCTTTTTGTCTACAATCTGTTTTTATATTAGTATGCCATTTTTTAATTTGAAAGGTACATTGTCCTGACCTTTTCTTTCATATTTTCTCTAGTTTTAGATATGTCTTTTGTTAGCACCATATATTTGAATTTTTAAAAAAGAAAAGTTTAACTTCAGTCTTTCAGCTAAAGTGTTTGAGTTCGTTTGTTTGGGGCTGGCTGGTTTGAGACAGTGTCTTGCTGTGGAGTTCAGGCTGGCCTGGATCTCACAGCGGTCTTTCTGCCTCAGCCTCCCGAGTACGGGGATCGGAGGTGAGTGCCGCATGCCTGGTGTATTCATTTAATATGCTTACTGGTATGTATCGTTTGTGTTTAGTCTTAATGTTTCATTTTGTGATTTTTTTGTCCCATTTTTTGAGTATTCTTACTTTTCTTAGGATTTTGAACCAATTATTTCTTTTCTTTTTCTTTCTTTTTTGCATTCCCATTGTTTCAGTTTGTAGTCTATGTATTTGTTAGGCTACCATATGCTTACTGTACTGCATGAAGTTGAGGTTGGAGTCCTTTGTCCTGTGCCTGTTGCAAGAAGCTTGTTAGGTCTGCATCCTCCGTGTAGCTCTTAGGCCAGCTTCACTTCTCTGGATTCTGGCTTTTCCTTACTTTGCTCACTTGCAATGTTTTATATATATTAGGTCTTCAGTGCTTTAGGTATACTCAGAAATTTAGCATTCTTAGTTTTCAACACGGATATAAATAATCTAGTCTGCTGTCTTCCTAGGAATAAAGCTTATTTGTGTGATATGAATTGGCCTTATTATTATTATTATTTTGTTTTTTTGAGACAGGATTTCACTGTGCGATTTAGGCTAGCCTTGAATTCATTTTGTAGTTCAAAGGCTGTCCCCAACTCATTGCAATCTTCCTGCTTCAGCCTCCTGAGTGCTAGGATTACAAGCATGCGACACCACACCCAGCTGGCCATTTAAATTTTTTAATCGAAACTTTGTTGTATTTTTTCCCATAAAATAAAATTATGTACAATTTTTAAAATTAGGGTGGCTATGTTTCTCCCACAAAATAAGATTATGTAAATTTTTTAGAGCAGCTAATATTTCTTGTGGTTAGTTTTTGTTTAGTTGTTGTTGATTGAGCATAGGATGAGAACTGGGAGAATCTGTATTTTATAAATGTACTTCTTTAGAGCAGTTTTAGGTTTGCAGCAGGAGTGAGTGGAAAGCACAGTGCTGCCACCTCCCGCCACCTCCCGCCACCTCCCACCACCTCCCGCCACCTCCCACCACCTCCCGCCACCTCCCACCACCTCCCACCACCTTCCACCACCTCCCACCACCTCCCGCCTGTACAATGTAGCCTTGGTCCACCGCCGCCTGTCATAGGATGAACCCACATCTGTACCAGAGCCGGTAGCTTACACTAGAGCTCACTCCTGGTCTTGGGCATCCTGCCGGTTCCTGCAGAACTGCAATCCACATTGTGGATAGTATTTCACTGTTGGGCCGACTCCTCCTTTCCTCCCTGAAGTGCGCATGCGTGGATCTAGGCCCTGCTTTAATCTGTTCCCCAACCACCCATCCACCAAAGCCTACATCTGTGGAAAAATTGTCCTCCATAAATCCAGGTTTTGCTGCCAAGAAGATTGGGGACCACTGTTTTGAACAGTGTCTCATCATATAGATAGACACTTTGCTCTTAGACAATTAAATTTTTTTTTTTTTTCTCTTAGGGACCCTGGAAAGCAGTCTGAACTCCAACTTTGAAAAAATCCTGTATTCTTTCCTAATATTTATTGTAGTATTGGGGATTGAACCAAGGTCTTCCCATTGAATTATATCCCCATCCTTTTTAAAAACTGTTTGAGATTGGGTCTTGCTAAATTGCCCAGGCAGGGCTTGAATTTAAGATCCTCATGCTTCAGCCTCCCAGAGAGCTGGGATTACAGGCATGTGTCAGCACACCAGGCTTTGGTCCATTCACTGTCCTTTGGGCTATTTCTTATCCTGCCATCAGTATCATGTTGTTGAATTACCATACTAGGCAGGCACATATGCCACTGAGCTAGCTCCCTGGCCCTAAGTTTTGTACATTTCTTTCACTGGCCTAAACATTTTTGCTGTGATTGACAGGTTATTGCCTACTACGTTTTGTAATGAATGCCATGCATGAGAGGGTTTGGCATGCTGATATCATGGTCACCTTGACAACATTTTTAATCAGTCCATACGGGAAAGGGGCAAGGGATACAGCTCGATCCAGTAGTTGGATATTAAGGGTACACTGATTTTTCAACAAACACAGGGTACATTGATCAGATCAGGCTAATTGGCATGTGGACCACCTCAGACAGTTATCAGTGCTTTGGTTGAATTCAGGATCCTTCCCATGGGCCATTTTGAAATACACAAGTGGCATCGACCACAGTTACCATATTGTGCCCCGGAACGCTGGAAGGCACACCTGTCACCCAGCTCTGTCGGGGCCCCTCCAGTGCCCTTCTCCTCCCGCCTTTCCCAGCCTCTGCTGATCGCTGCGCTTGGCTTCTACGAGGTCAGCATTTTAGCTTTCATGGGGGAGAACGTGTAGAACTTGCCTGTCTGTGCCTGACTTATTTCGCTTACCGTGATGTCCTCCAAGCTCATCCATGTTGCCGCAAAAGACTGGAGGACTTCATCCTTTTTGAGCAGAATAATTCTGAATGATCCACATTTTTACTATAACTGAGGCTGGCTGTTTTGATTTTGTATGGTGATTTTTGTCTGGTCTGATGTTCGTGACCATCTTTGTCTAATTTCTAGAATTGCTGTTACTGAAACTCTATAAATGATGCCTTTTAAAGTTGTGTATCCCTAGGGAGTACTCTTTTGATTATCTTTTCCATTTCTTTGTTTACTGGTCTAACTTTTTTACATTTTTATTAAAATTCTTTTTCTATCGTCAGGGTTTTCAGTGTATGAACAAAGGCATATACAGTGGTACCTTGGTTCATACCTTTGTTTGCATAGTTCAGCCCGCAAACAGATATGTCAGGCAAAATTTTGTTTATGGTTGCAAACTCTGCCTCAGATGACAAATGTCACCATGACTGTCTTTCCCACACAAACACAAACGTAGCCATCTTTTCCAGAATCATGGAGCAAATTAAGTATGTGAGCTGAGGCACTACTGCACTCTATTAGACCTTTTTTAATCTTTGGGAGAATTCAAACATCCAAAGTAGGTAGGAGAGTCTACACTCCCACTTACCTACTGCCTAGCTTCAACTATTTTACTGAGTAAAGCTGTTTCAGTTGTACTGCACCCTCTGACTTCTCCCTGCCCCCACTGCATTATTCTGATGAGGCCAGACCAGACATATTCTGGTGAGGCCAGACCTCATATTTTGATGAAGCCAGACCTCATATTCTGATGAGGCCAGGGCGCGCTGGTGTGCACCTGCAATCTCAGCTCTTGGGAGGCTGGATTGGATGTCGACTACTGGATTATTCTGAAACAAACCCTAAATAGAGCATCAGGAATAGTTCCCTCTAGAGGCCTCAATGTTAACTGACATCGTCTTCCCAGTTGTCTGTCTGTCTTTCACACACACGGTTAGAATGAGGATCTGAATGAGATTGGCAGATGAAATTTCACTTGTGGTTTAAGGCACTAACTTGTTCACATCTTGTAGTTTCCTTTTTTTTTTTCATTTTTAGGATTGGATTATTCTGGTGTTGGCTAGCTTGGTTTTTTTCTCCAATTTTGTGTTAATTCATAGTTAGGTTCTAGAGAGGCTTCACAAGGGCTGAGGAGGTAGTTGCGGCATAAGTGCCTGCCTGGCAAGTGCAAGGTCCTGATCCCTGGCACGGCAAAAAAATAAGAACATAAATAGATAAAAGAGTCTTCACAGACTTGGGCTTACTGTCTTTTTGTGCAGGTGGTGCATGTACATCAGAAGGTGGTGCATCCTAGGAGGACTGGCCAAATAGCTTAGCAGATTAATGCGCCTGCAAGCAGGCACAGGGGCCAGGAATTCAATCCCCAGGCCTGCCTTGCTGCCCCCGCTGTGGGGGCCTTTAAAAACAATTGAGACTGGGCCATCGGCCTGTGCCTGTAATCCCAGCTCTTGGGAGGCTGTAAACAAGTGGATCACTAGGAGCCTGATCTAGTGACTTCCCTAAAAATACAAAAACAGCAACAACAAAACATCAAAAAAAACAGAAGGTGGCACATCCCAGTGTCCCTCCCTGTAACGTTAGCAGCCTTGATGAGCACCTTCCACTGTGGTTGCAGTAGGTATAAGAGATAGCAACTTGGTTACCCAAAGTGAAAAAATAAGGTAAAAAATAAATAAGTGAAAGAATAAGGTAAAAAATAAAAACATTGTTTTTTTTTGCCTTTTTCAGTTTTCTAAATTCATTTCATCTCTTCCAGAGATGACCAAAAAGGATTAAAAATAAAAAAATTAAACATGTTATTTCCACTCTTTAAATTACGCTTACTGCTCAGACGATCTCGCTGAGGAGGCGTGGACTCCTCGCAGGGTCCCGAGTCGCAGATCTCCCCTCAGGAGCCCTCTCAGCTCACAGCGCCCACAAGGTTCCCCAGCTCCTGGTGTGCGTGCTCACCAAGACCAGACTTAGACATTTTCTCAAGAAGTCCTAATTCTGTAGGAAATACTAAATGACTAATGGTTTTTAAACTTCATCTTCCCTAGGTTGTTAGGAGGGTATGTGAAATTTTTCTTTGTGACAACTCATTTTTCAGTGTAAATTTTAATGTGCTGTGAACAATCACTGGCCTCCACAATCACTCCTTTTGAAACAATGTGGCATCTTTAGTCAATAATTGCTATTTAAAGGGGATCAACCTTTTTTTTTAATGGAACCAGGGATTGAACTCAGACCCTTGTGCTTGCCAGGGAAGCGCTTATTCTACTGAGCCATCTCCCCGGCCCCAGGATCAACCTTTTTTAATCTTAAAACTTGTGTCACTTTCAGAGCAAAGAAATCTAGACTTTTCTCTCTAGTTCTCCTCCTCTGTCTCCTTTCTGTTTAGATACTGGAATATTTTTACCTATTTCTTTATATTTTGTCTTTCCTTAACACTAACTCCATCCGTACTTCTAGGTAATTACTGACAACTTTGCTTTCCAGCTGTATCCTTTGATTATTCAGCCTTTAAAAATTATCAGAATTTTACTAGCACCAGCATGCCCTTTTGTAATGTGTATTATAGCTGTTGAGATCATTTCTATACTCTTATTTGATATTTAATTAACTTCCATCTGTTATTTCTGTGGATTTTTTCTTGTTTTGCTTTGGTGTTCAGGCCCTTTCATATTATTGGTGTTCTTCAAATGTTTTGGTGACTCCTACTCATAATTTAGTCCCCAGCTGTGTAGTTCAGCACCTCTCTCAGAGACGTTCTCTGCTAATCAAATCCTCTGCTGGGAATAGTGGACCCGGTTGCCAGTTGAGTAAATGCCAGTGTTCGGATTTTGGCTATCAGCTTCTCTTCTCCTTCTAAGGATCAGGTGTTGCCCTGCTTCTCCAGTTCTAGTGGTTGTTCTCCCAAAGCCTCATGCAGTCATGGGGCGGCTTCTAGAGTTTGTGATTAATTCTTGCTCCAAGGCTGGGATTATGGGTGTGAGTGCTACACCCACCCTGGAGCAGTTAGTCTGCATACAGATATAAGGAAGGGAGAGAGGCTGGCTAGCTGCCACAGCTGCTGCTCCACCCTTTTGCTCTTTGCCGTTTTCCACTGCCAGAATGGCTGCCCTCTGCTATGTGCCACTCTGCCTTGGAGCCAGCAGAGTGTGGACTGAAACTTCCACTAACTGTGAGCCAAATAAACCTCTGCTTCTTTAATTTTGTCATAGCAATGACAGAAAGTAACTGAGACAGCCACCAAATTAAAGATGGGGCATCCCTCACTGTTTGGAATCAGCTTCCTAATCACTCTGCCCACACTCCTGGGTATGTTCCTGCTCTATGCTGGTTCCAAGCCA